GCTCTGAATGGCCCATTTTTGTGTAATCCTCAGCTAGGCTGCACTCGCATGAACAAAGTGAGCAACATTAGTACTTCTGCAGAGGAGGGTGTATGTGCGTGTGTGAGGAAGTGTACTTTCTTTGCAAAGCTGTCCATATACAGGAAGAAAACTTGGGCAGTTCATGTTCTGTGAGGTCCAGCTCTGATACTTTCCAGTTGTGTTGGACTGGCGCTTCTGTCATCTCTGTGGGTTGTTTTCTTCATGGAATCTGTATCGCACGTATGGGCACCATGCCTACACCGGGCCTATTGTTGGGAAAACATTCCTAGCTAAGCTTGCTCTGGCAGGAGCGCTGCTCCTCCCTCCCTCAGTCTATATAGGAGGAGCGCCTGCCATTTCCCCCAGTTCTTTCCAACCTCTGTTCTGGACGCCTCAAGTCTCTTCCTGGTACTTCTCTTGTTATACCTTATAAATACCTTCTAGAATCTTCTGTCGATCCCTTGATTCTATAACTTGTTCCATGGTGGTGTTCTACCAGAACACACACCATGGCATGTGGCCTGCACCACTAACCCATCTCATGCAGCAGTTCTGGGACTGGTGTCTGGAACGGGACATCGCCGTCACGGCCACCCGTTTGGCCAGGACCAACGACGACACGGCAGATGCCCTGCTCAGGAGACCCACGGGGACCCATGAATGGGAGCTGCATCTGGGCGTTCTGAAGCAGCTTTTTGAGACCTGGGGAACTCTGTTTGTGGACATCTCCACATGCCAGCCAGCACGGTATGCAAAGCCTTCTGCTTCTGGGCCGGGGTTGATGGGAGAAGAGTTCCTTCTCTGTGGGACAGGGGCCTTGTTCTGCCTGTTCCTGCTGATCATCAGAGTGCTGACCAAGATCCAGAGCCACCTCCTGCATTCTGTGCTGGCTCTGGCAGGCACGGTTTGCCCACCTTCTCTGCCTGTTTGGCCACAATTTCATCCACCTTCTGATGAGACTGAAGGATGATTCCACACCCGGATGTTAGGACCATCTGTCCAGCAACATGGAGGATTGGTCAGTAGATTGGGAGACCCTTCTCCATCCCAAGATTCAGGCAATCTTGGAGGCAGCCTTGTGGCCAAACACAAGGCGGTTTCACATGGCCAAATAGAATGTTTTCTTGCCTTTTGCCGGGGATGAAGCCTTCAGTCCACATTGGCCGTCCATGCGGAGATCGGCTTCCTCCACACCAGAGGCCTGAAACGGTCCTCCTTCAGAGCATATCTGGCAGTTATCTCTTCCTTTCACGGGATGGTCAATAATTTTTTGGTCTTTTTTGTTTCTTCTGCCCCATCGGCTCCTTGAGGTCCGCACAGCCTGGCCCCATCTATCTGTTCCTTCATGCCAGAATGCAGCTGTTGGTGGTCCTGCTCTTACACAGCTTCCCTTCAAGCCTTTAGCCACTGTGGACCTGCGCCTTCTCTTGTGGAAGGTTGCTTTTCTGGTGGCGATCACTTCCGCCAGCCAGATGATCCGTAGTTCGTTATTTTCCACAAGGACAGCATGGTTCTATGACCCAGTGAAACATTTACCCCTAGCGTATGGAATGGGCTTCCACAGGAGGTGGTTGAGGCCTCATCGGTGAGGGTGTTCAAGGATAGGCTGGACAGGCACATGGCAGGCATGTCATGAGTGGAACTGGCTGGAGTTGGGGGTCAGACTAGATGGCCCGGGAGGTCCCTTCTGACTGGCTCTGTCTCTGTGTTTCCTCCCAAAGGTCGCACTGTGGTTCCACCTGAACCAGGGAATTGTATCGCCAGCACTCTTCCCAATGCCACCCACCCCAGTGGAGTTGGCCCTGTGTTCTCTGCATGGATGTAGGGCACCGGCGTTCTAATGGCCCTGCACCAAATCCTTCAGAGATTTATCATGTCTGCTTCCTGGGGATGAGAGAGTTTCAGTGCTATCAAACTGGGAGTTACTAGCTTGGGGAAAGCTGTGGATTGTATGGCTGTCTTTTGTAGAAAGCGAAGGAGTGACTCCTCCCTCCGGAGCTGGGGACATGTGCCAATGGAGAGGTGGAAGAGAAGGCATTACGGGTTGCGTCACATAATCACAGCATGCTTAATAAGCATTGGTGATTTCCTAACCACCTGGGTTGTTGTGATGTCCAAACCCAGCGAAGGTGGGTGGGAGGGATGGGTTAATGCACCCATGCTCTGTTGTGAGGTTGCTGATGGTTTGTTGAGCAGCCCACCAGCCGCCCTCGCTGGTGCTGGCTCTCGGAGCAAGCAAGGGGTAGCTGGGCAGGGAGGGTCAGGTTATTACTCACCCAAAGATCATGCAAACCATAGAACAACTTGGCTTGATAAATTTGCAGGCTCCCTTCCTTACTCCATCTCTTGACTGTGCCCAGTTCCTCCCGTTTTATATCAAGACTTGTGACATCGCTGCACATTATATTAAGCATTTGATGCTGACTCCTGAAAAAAAAAACTGAAACAGCACTTGGCAGGGGGCCGTATGTAAGAAGGTGGTGGTGGCGTTCGATAATTAGCATTTTTATACTGTCCTGTATAACATTGGGCTCTCCAGGCAGTTTACAATTTAATAAAAACTGTTAAATGGATGGACCATAAGATACAAAAACAGTAGCATATAAATAGCATATAAGCAATAAGATATGGTAGCACCCCAACTATGGAATACGCTCCCCAGAGAGGTTTGCCTAGTGCCGACATTATATTCTTTTCGGCATCAGGCAACCCCCTTTTTATTTTCCTGTAATTTTAATGTTTATTTGATTTTAACGGGGGTTTTAGTATATTAATGGTCGGATCTGTGGAGTTTGTTTTATTCTACTTATTTATTGTAAGCCATCCCGAGATGTTCCGTAGGGGATGGGATACAAAAGCTTTTAATAAATAAATAATAAATAAAATAAATACAATTCCCTCCGCAAAAAGTCCAATGCACAGATGGCACCAAAACAGGAATCCTTGGGTGGCTGCTTTGGTCACAGGTCCGTTGGGGTCTGTGGCACTGCCACTGGTGGTGGTGCGTCTCAGTCCCATCTCTGCCACAGGGATGGGCCTCTCCAGCCAGGCAAGCAGGCAGCCACTCAGCTGGTGCAGCGGAGGGGGGGAAAGCCGGCCGCTCCCAACCGTTTTCTTCTGTGCTAAGGTCCTGATGAAAGTGTGCCCACCCAAATTGGTCTGCTGTGAGTGGGGCACAGGAGCTGTGATTCACGCAGGTGGCCGCCTCGCCCGGCAGCTTTCTGGGGACTGCAGGGTGCATCACCACATGGGGAAGAAAGTGGCTTAAAAACGGCCTCAGTCCATTTAACGAATCTCTTTGCCCTGCTTCCTGGAGCGAAGCAGAATAAAAGCTGTTTTGTGAATATGTTTTGAGAGAGATACCAGGGAAATAATCCAAGATGTGGTACGAAATATGAAACGTTGTGGCGCCTTTCTCCACGCTGATTTTGTAGTATCTCCACTGCCGAGACCATCTTCTTCACTGGACGTTATATAAATATGGAGTCACTGGAGCTGGGTCTAGTCAGGCGCATTTTGGAAATTCTTTGTCAAATAGAATGGTGCCAAGGCACAATGAACCTGGAGCACAGTTTTAGCTTGCTTGCTTGGTGATCAATCTTGTAACCCATCAACAAATATATTTAAGACTGCAGCTGCAGTGTCCCTGATGCATTTAATCCCCACGTGTTGTAGAATGTACATTTTGTATCGCATTGTTGCCTGTTCCCATTGTTCATAGCTTATTATCTATACTTATGCATCATTACAATGCCAACTGAGATAATAATCGTGGGGCTGAAGTAGGCTGTACTCCATGGGCACTTCTATGAAGTCGGTAAGGTGTGGGAATCTAGCTGTATGTAAGAAATGCTCAAACACAGAAGTTTGTCCATGTGATTTACTTCTAGCTGATTGCCATTTGAACCCAGTCATCAGGATTTTCTTTGGCATTGTTGTTCACTCAACTATCTGTGGTTTTTTTAATCACAGCATGGGCAGGTAATACTTTAAAAAGTTGTTTCTTTTCTTCCCGAACTTGGTAACAAATTCATCCCTTTTAGGAATTCTGGCAGTATTTGCTGGCAGGTTTTAAAACTGCATTGGAAATCAATTGGCACATAAAACTGTTTTGAACTAATTTGATTTAGGCATCTTGCCCAACTGTGGTTTGTGGTTACAAATTTCAATTTGTTTTGCAATCCCCATTTTGCTGGCAGAGCACAATCCAGCATTTGCCAGTTCAAACTTTGCACCAAGCTATTATTCAAGATTTTTTAGGAGCAGTTTGTCCGGACTGAGCCACTGGGCCAGTTCAGATATCATGATGGCCCGTGTTTTATTGTGAGAGGAACAACCCTTTAGCAACTCTTAGATTTGCTTGCTTTCCACTTGCCTCTACTCCTGTAACCACGAAGAGGAAACCAGAAGTTTGCATTCTTGATCAGCCACAGCTTGTAATTTCACCTAAACCCAAGAAACCACAGTTAATCTTAACTATGGTTGTTTGAAACAAGCCATGACTAACTGCCAGTTGTCACTTTTACAACCATGGTCTGTTCAGTTTGGATGAGATTACCTGCTATGGTGAATCAAATCAAGGTTAAAGCTTATGGAGTCTTCTGGTCGTACTGGAGTAGGGAGCATATAAGACTGTACCTGCTGGGACTGATTTCCCTCTTGATAATTCATGGTATAGCACGACCTTGGAACCAAGTCTAGTCTCTCTCCTCTCGTGAGAAACAGTTACCTGTTGCAGTAGAAGCACAGTCAGTGTTTTCCTGCAGCTTTGCTCCCCTGCCTCTCTCGGTGATATTTCAAATTAAGTCCTTTCTGTGGGGAAAATTAATGCAGTCAGTGGTAACTGAAGCATGTGATGGGGAAGGGGGAGGCACCACTGGCCACCCTTCCATTGCTCTGCTGCTTTGGTCAGGTAGCACTGTGATAACACATACACCTTGGTGATGGAAGGTTCTTTAACAGCGCTATTCCTTTAACAGGTCTTCGTGTAAGTTGGCTCCCTGGAGCACAGATAAGAGAGACCCAGAGAAGTATGTTACAAGCCCCCCTTCTCTTCCTCTCTTTCTCTCTCAGTGCTTTTGATTTAGACTAAATCTCTCCGAATCTGTTTTTTGGCTTTTCCTTTTTTGTTTTTCATGTATACCAATCTGCTTGATCTTCTTATATTGAGTTTAATTTGGGGAGGCTGCTGATGGGGGGCGGAGTGGTGGGAGGCAATTCTTTTCTAAGGATTTGGGGGGCAGGCAGGATTCTCTCCCATGCGTCTCAGCATGAGGGTAGTGTGCATCAATTTCCTATCCTGTGTTCAGCTGGACACTTTGCTTCTAGGCTGTTGATCAAGAAATCCCCTCCTGTTTTCGTCCCATGTAACGCATTCATTTCAGCCACTGAACCCAAATTGCTGTTTTTGCTTTGCTTCTCTTTTTCCCCCCTCGATGAAAATGGTAAGAACTCTTTTCTGTAGAGATGAAGTTAGTTTATCCGTGCTAATGCTTTGATTTTTCTTCTTTCTCTCTTCTCTGCCACAGTAGGTAACCAGTTAGGGGCCCTGGTACATCAAAGGTAAGCAGTGGGTTATGTTTTATTATTTATTGATCACTTCTAATTGTTTATTGATCTGCCATCTGTACTAGAGTGTTAGGAAGTCAGAGGTTGAAGACGCAGCAGAACTCTGCAGGCTCCATTTCTTTCCTGTCCCCACTCCCCATCCCAATCTGGGATTCTTTGCTTATGCCGCTGCGCAGCACATGCATCTCTTGGGGGAAAGGGCAAGGGGTGTGCGTATTAACACGTCAGGGGAGACCTGTGCTGAGTTCGGCTTGCATCTCTGGCCAGGATCCTTGGAGCTACTCTGGGCCATCGAGAGAGCTTTTTTAAACACAGAACAGAAGATTCCTTTGCCATACCCTGAGCCACTTTGGAAAGTCCGAGTGGGTCCTAGAGCGGAGTGCCACATGGCGCATTCTGAAGGAGAGAGGTACCACTTCGGGATGGCGAGCCCAAAGGCATCTCGGCTGCACAGATCCAGCATGGCTGTGTGGAGCCCAGCCCTTCTCTTCAGCACTGGAGGAGGATCATTGCAGTATATCTTCTCCCTCCATGTCCATTTTTCGAAGACCCTCGATTCATCTAGTGACCAGGGTTAACAGCCTTGGTAGAACATGCCTTCAGGTTTCCAGTCAGGGCTGTCACACGGTGCGACGAGAGTTTAGAGCAGGGTCAGTGGATCAGTTCCATCAAAGGAGCCCCAGTCTTAAGTTTCAAGAGCTGAGCAGGGCTGTCGTGGCCAGGGTGCCTTGGCGGGAACATTTTCTTAGGGCTACCTTGAGTCCGAGATAATTTGTTGGCCCATAATCATGCTGGAGTCCCAATCTGCATAGTCCTAGCAGCTTTCCTCCAAGGACCAAACACTGGATTGCCTTGGGTAGCCTCCATTCTGGAAAGTCTAAAATGCCTTACACTTAAAGCTTAGTCACTGGCTGCAAGAGCTTCACGGTAAAATATGCTATTACTGGTTGTACCTTTTGCTGCTGGCATGTGGCCCTGAGACGGTCTGCAAAACGGAATTCAGCCTGGAAAAGGTGTCAGACCTGAAAAAGGCACTGAAATGGTGTTAAAAGATAATCAGAGGAGAGGTCTACCAAGGGCTATTAAATCTGGCAGAGAAATAGAGCCTCCATGTTTTGAAGCAGTGAACCTCTGAATTCCATTGCTGGGGAGCACGTTTTCTTTGTGGGCTTCCCCAGAAACCGCTGGAGGCAGGACGATGGATTAGCCTTCTGGATCTGGCCTAGGAGGGCTTCTCAATCCTCACCAGAGGAGCTCAGTTCTGTAGCAAGTGGATTCAGGTGGCTTTGGTGTATAAAGTTTTTTTGTTGGTGGACAGAAGGAAGACAACCCATGAAGTATTCTTGCGTATTTTTAGCCAGGCTAAGCTCTTTTGATTTAAAACTTATTTTAATTGTTAATTTATTACGTATTTTTAGGATTTTAAATTTTATGCCGAGATGTTACCAAGTTTTTAATGAATTTTAATGTACTTACTGTTATTTATATATTTTAATTATGTTGTGAGCTGCCCCGAGGCTTTGTTGCAATGGGGGCGGCATAGAAATGTTTTAAACAAACAAATAAATAAATATTGTTTAAATTTCTATGCCGCTACATTAGCCCACCACCTTTGGATTCTCAGCAGCTTTGTCATAAAATGGCATGGAATCCTAGGAAGGGGCCAAGAAGGCCATCGGGTCGAACCCCCTGCTGTTCCAGGACACCAGTTTACACCACCCCATTGAAATTTGTTCAATCAGAAACAGAATGTAAATACTGCTAAGGTACAATGATTGATAAAACATCATAAATGGAAGTCTCTGAGCAGCTTCTTGGCTATCGAATTTTCTTCAGCAGGGCGCAAGTGTTGGGTTCCTTAAGCAGATCAATAGCTGTACATTGCTTCCATCTTGGACTCCGCCTGCCATCAGGGCCAATGAGATAAATGGCCTCCGGGCACGGGAACAAAAAGGCTTCTGAGCCGATAGTTGTAGACGGGAGAACGGAGGCTGTGAGAAAGGCTGAGTTCACAAAGCGCTTGCCGTTCCAGGCATGCTTTTAAAATCCCGGTCACCTTCCATGGCTTACCAGGTCTGGTCTTTCTCCTAATTGCCAAAGGCGGCTGCAGTGAAACAGGGCGAGGGCTAACAGAACTCAAGCTGACTTTCAGCAAGGCACTTGAGATTTGGCTTACATAAACCTTGCTAGGTGAAATGCAAGTCCCTCTTGCTCACCTTCAGGCTTCAACAGCACCCGCCCGGTGCATCCAAGAAGCTCTCCAGCAGTCGCAGGCGCTGTCTTTGAACACAGAGGTCCCTGTGGATAACTTGCACAATTGTTGGGGGACAAGCGAAGACATGCCACACATTTACTTCCTAATGGAAAGCGTTCTCAGGTCCAGCTCCCCTTCAGCGTGCTATTAAGGTGCAAGGAGTTGAGGAAGGCCATCCTACTCTTCCTCTCTCTCTCTCTGCCCCATGTCCCATTCCCCCAGTCAGATTTCCCCCCAGCTTATAGTCCAGTTCCACAGCCACTGACAATGCTCAGGTGTCCTTCTGCTGGGCCAGGGAGGTTGCCTCCTTAGTCTTTTAAGGGGGTGTTGTCAGCATGTGTCTTTCTTCCCCTCTGGGATTGGTGGTTGCTCCCATCTTGTTTCTCAGCAGGATGTTCTGAGCTCCTGTCCTGCTTGTCCTCACCATTGGAATTGACTGATATGGTCACTGACCCGCAGATTCACAGAGGGTAGCTTGTTAAATCCCACAGGCTGCTCTGTCCGTTCCCAGAGGGGTAGCTGCTTTCATCTCTCGCTGAAAAGCATGAATGTATTTCGTGGCACTCCAAAAACTATGGAGTCATAGTCAGCTGGCCTTCAAAACTCTACAGGGCTTATTCTGTACGAAAGTTGTGTGCACCCCAGAAGTCCTTTTAAGGGTTTTACCCTTTAAAAAAAAAAGGATAAATTAATAGTATTTATAAGATAAAGCACATCCTGGATCCAAAGTTCTTTGGCCTACAGCAGGAGCTGCCTTTAAGCTTGCCTCATTTTAAAAATGGTTATTTTTGATACTTTATACTCAACCTGGAGTTCTTCAAGGAGGTTATGGCCGGTATTTTTGAAAGCCTGATTATTCAGTGCTATTGCTGCAGAGTTTTCAAAGCTGTCAAACTACTTTCTGCTTCTGTTTCTGGGAACTCAAGCTCCATTTTTGAAATGTAACTTTCCATAGCTATTCGTATCACTAGAAAGGTAAGCATTTCCATTCGTTGTAATGAGCCTTCCTTTCCCTTCTCTTCAGGGCAGTAATAACCGAAGAATTCAAAGTGCCTGACAAAATGGTTGGATTCAGTAAGTATTCTGGTTGAAGTGATTTTTCTTCTTGCTGCATAGAGGGCTCCTAAAATGCTCGTTCCATTGAAGATGAATTTGTGTTATGATAGAGAATCATTTGTGTAATGGCACGGGTGTTGCTAATGTCATTGAGAACAGGGCCATTTTGGGGACGGCTTTTGCTGTGAACTTAAAAATGTATTGAGAATAATTTAATTATTTCCTTCCTGCTGCGGAAACCCGCAGGCAAAGATCTTGATCACAGGCTTGGTCGATGCTGTGCCCAGGTGATAAGCCTAGGGAAGAATGTACCTGGATGGGAGGGAACAGATGGACCACTGCAGGGCCATCTAAATTGAGGGCTCATCCATCAGTTGGGGTTGTGCGGATGATGCGCATGCCCCAGTTCCTCCAGATTTAAAAAACAAATCTGGGTGGGAACCAGGACACCATCCATGTGCCATGCCATCTTGATTCTTGCAGAGGCAGCTGTTCCCGAAACATTTTCATTCACATGCCGGACTAGCTCACCATGGCCTGAACTAGCCAGCCAGCCATAACTTTGGGCTGCCGCATTACCAGAGGGCTTTCTCGGCCTGGGGCTTCCTTTGTGTGTGCCCCTTAGGAATGACAGCCCAGCTGCCTTCTCCTGCCTTGCCCACCCTGGCCTCCTCACCGCCATAGAGCCCCATTTTTCCTGACAGCATGCAGTCCCTAGTTGTATATCCCAAGAGCTTGGTTGCGGAATGCTCCTTTCCTGCCTACTCTGGTTCTCTGAGGAACAGGATCAAGAGTAGTGCCTGAGAACAGATCTCTCAGAGCGTCCCAGTCTTTGCATGGCTCCCACTACCAGAACGGACACTTGGCAAGCATTTCAGCAGGGCTGGATGGAGCTGGGGTGCTTAGAACAGAAAGTCGTTCTGGGGGATTCTAACCCTTTGGAGGTCCTGGTGCTCCACCTCTAGGAATGATGGGTATTGCTCCAGCCACAGCTGCTGATGGATAGCAGAGTTTGGCACAGAAAGTAAAATGTGCAGAAAGTAATTCGGCTTTTCCCTGCACCTCCCTGCTAGCCGGTCTGGCAAAGCCACGCAGGCTCCCCATGAGATCCATGAGAAACTTTCACTGTACCTTCTTTGCAACAGCAAAAGTTAAATGGTGACCGGTTCTCAACTTTCTTTCAGTTATTGGCAGGGGTGGTGAGCAAATCTCTCGGATTCAGGCAGAGTCAGGCTGCAAAATTCAGATTGCGCCAGGTAAGCAAGCTCATTGTGCCTCTGCAGGGCTTTGACGGAAGACCAAAAATGCGGGCATATAGGCTGTGGTTGCCTTTTTTCCAGTCTCGCTTTCCCGCAATAGACTTGTAGCCTGGGCAGCTTACAATCCGAGCTTACGGACTCTTGGTGGAGGCATCTGAATACAGTCTCTACTTTTAAACAGTCTGATGCACTTTAAATGCCTGGGGCTGTGGAAGGAAATGCCTCATAGAACAACTCGCTGGGGTCCTGAAGCTCTGGCACATAGAGTGGTGTGTCGAATTTGCTTCTCTCCAGTCTCTTGCCCTCGCCCACACCGAACTCTCCCTCTCTCACCGCCTCTTCCAGGCTTAAAACCGGTGCCTCCCAGCCCTTGAGTGGAAACCCCCCGACAAGGGAATCGCTCTTAGTCGCTCTTTAATTGAGCACCCCCCACACGTGAGCATGTCCACCGATGGCGTGACTGAGTAGTCCACCTGCCCGCCAGGTGTTAACAAGGCAGGTTAAAGGGACAGCAGTCTCCTCCACCCACTGGTTTTGATGGTCCCAGGCAGGTGTCCTCAGTTATAAGCAAGAACGCTGGTGCCAAAGCCTTGTTCACGGTGTCCTGTTGCTGGAATCTGAGCGCAGGCGACTTAACTTGGCCTGGGCCTTGGGCCCTCCCGCTTCTCAGACTCAGCTGGGAGGCCAGGTGATGTCTCGAGGGTGGGGGCCTCCTCCGGCACCAAGCACGCCCCACCCCTGTTTCCCCTTCCTCTGTGAAGAGAGAGCCGTGGTGTTCCAGATCTCTCTTGGCGCAGAGAAACCAACTCGCCTGGGCCATTGCAAGGGCTGGCGAAGGACTGCGGTGTGGGGGCAGCCCCTTGCTAGTCCTGCTCCAAGATAACCTGGGGGTTCTTTTCCTGAAGGCAAAGGAGTGGTGCTTGGGAAGGGGAGGGGCATGCTGAGACCCCCATCTGAAATCAAAAGCCTACCACAGAGGTGGTCTTGAAAGGGTCTGGAGCTGGGCGAGATAATTAGCTGCATGACACACACAACACCAAGACGAGTCATGCAAAAGACGGGAATTAATCTAGATTTGTGCATGAGTCCTCCATAGCACAGGCGTCCTCCTGTTCTTCTTTCGTATGTAATGCACGCAGCCCGCCTGCACACCCAGGTGGGAGCTCATGAGAATCGTGGGATACCCAGCACACCTGATGTCTTTTTCCTTTTTTCCCTTTGCTTTTATTTTTGCAGATGGAGGTGGAATGGCTGAAAGACCCTGTGTGCTCACCGGCACGCCAGAGAGCATTGAGTGAGTTTTGGAAGTACATGTATATGGTTTGCTTTCACCCCCTTCCCTCTGTCCTCTTTCCTCTTTCTGTTTTTTCCCCTGCCACCTTTTCTTCTTTCAGTTGCTGCCACAAATGAGCAATGGCCCCTTGCCAGATATGTACTTGCCATGATCCAAACCTTGATTTTTTTAGCCTGCTATTAAAATCTTCCTTTATTCTTGCCCCCTTTTCTCTCACCCAGTGTGGACACTCTCACGAATCCTATGCAGAAATGCTTTAGTGAGTTCTCTTGTGAGCTGGGGGTGCAGTAAGACAGAGGTGGGCAACGTTGAGAGATCTGAAGGCTGTTTTTGCCCCTCCAGACACCTGTACCTTCTTCCACTGGCACTATTAAAGGGGCAGAAAGCCAAAGAGATGTCTGGAGAAACTGCAGAAGATCAAAACCGCCTCTGTAGCAGCTCCAGGCACCTTTTTCCTTGCCTTAATGTTGCTGGGGAGGAGCAGTCAGATTTTGGGGCGGCAGGTTCTGTGTGCAGCCCCCTCCACAGGGTGCGTGTTGCCCACCCCTGCATTAAGGGGTTGGGAGCTTACCTCAGCCTTGCCAGTAAAACCAGAAAGACTTTGGCCAGCTTTCACTTCAGTCCTGTGCCTGTTTCTGGCGTGTGGAGAGCCCGGACAGGACTAAAGGGACTCCTCCCCCCTTGGCGACCGTGGGCCCGGCTCGCACGAGGGCCCCACCAGCAAAACCTTGGCTCCCGGAGAGTGTGCACTTCCGTTTTGGCTTGCCACCCACCCCACGCCCAAGTCATCTTCTGTCTGCACTGGGGTGTTAATGGTAGAGGACACTCTGGAGGGCTGGGCAGGGTGTCCCTTGCAGCTCAGAGGAGGTAAGACATAGCTCAAGGGGGACTCTGGTGTTGCTTCTCTCTTCCGTGCTGCCAGTTTTAGGAGAGGAGACCCTCCCCTGCTCTTTAGCCCCTGGCGGTGCACTGAGTCCTCATCCCTTCGCGTCCAGGAGCAGCCCCTGAAGAGGCAGCAGGCGTGGCCACCTCCAAAGAGCAGCACAGCGAGAGCACGCGTGTGACTCGCTAGGGCAGGGGTGGGTCATCCACGGCCCTCTGGTGCGCCGGGCTCCCAGCCAGCGCCTCTCGTGGCCAAGCGGTAGCAGCTGTAGCCACAACACCCTCTGGAGGGCCAGGGGTCCTCGCCCCCCTGCTAGGCGGTGAGAAGCACTCGCCCTGCTGAACGCGGCTTCGGATGCCTGGCCTGGAGGCTGCGGCTGTCGGTGACCTGCAGTGGCCAAGTTCTCCGGATGTCTCTAGGGCCTTCCCTTGTCCACTTCCCCAGTTTCCAGTGGGGCTGGAGGAGCTCGCCGGAACTCCACCCCTGACAAGCCTGAGTAAAGCAGGGAGGGGCTGTTGCTAAAGCTGCCCCCACCCCCAGCCAAAGACGATCCAAGTGTGCACGATTGGCCCCATGCATGACAGTGACCCCCCCCCCCATCGCCACTGTCGCTTGTTCGGTGCAGGATGACCCTCGGCGCTGCTGGCTATTCTGCCTCCCCACCTCCCCCAAATCCTTGCAAGACCCTACCACCTGGCAGCCCAGCGGGGGGTTCTGCGCTTTCTAGCCCTGTAGAAACTTTAGGGACAGTGTTTCCTCCCTCCCACTTCCCAGGAGCTGAGTTTGCCTCTCCCAAGCCATTTTGAGGACCTCTCCCCGCTGGGACTTGGAGCTGCCGAGCCTCAGGCTTACAGGAACCCACTTAACAATATGGAGCCGCTCTTTCTCTCCCCCAGCCTTGGGTAGGTGGGCTTTTTCCGAATCCATCCATGGGAATCTTCATTTTCTTTTGACAAGTTGCATTTGGATGATTACGAAGCATTGACGGAAGCAACCCTTGAGGTTCGCAGGCGTTGTGTGTGTTGGTGTTAGCTTAAGAAAGGTCTGTTCTGCTTTCGTGTTTTGCTTTTTTTTTTAAGGCATTTTCTCATGAGGCTGCAATTCAGCCACCCCAGAGGCAAAACAAACGTAACTGGCAGGTGCATGTGAGAGGGCAAACGACCTGGGGTTTTGCTTTTTTCTTAGGGTGGGACTGAGCTGGGTTGCCTGCTGCCCCGCACCCTTCCCCTAAATGGGTGTATGATAAAGCAGAAAGCACTGCAGAACGCCTCGCGAGAGCCGCAGAGGGTGCGAGTCGTGGCATATTTGCCTTCTGGAGAGATGCTAGACAAAGAAAGACGCCTCCTTCCTTCCTTCCTTCCTTCCTTAATTCCTTCCTTCCTTCAGCTTAAAGAGCTGGTCCTGCAAAATTAGTCTCCGCGGAGCCAGTGTGTTTGGTGGCTGCTGGATGTGGTTGGAGTGCTTTTCTCCCACTTTGGCTCTGTGCACATGCCGAGATGGAAGGCCGGGGACAAACTTTGGTTTCCCTTCTGCCGCCGTCCTAAAGAATGCGCCCCATGAAGCTGATTGAGGTAGACTCCAGTTTGCACGTGGCCAGGCCAGGCCGGCAGCAAGAGGGCATGGCTGGGCTTTCTGGCCTGCCTTGGGTAGAGTCTAACATCAGTCTGCCTAGCTCAGGACCCTGGACACTGGCTGGCAGCTGTGTCCCGTGGTTTTCGGTAGCTCCTCCAGCCCCTCCTGGAAGATGCAGGGGATCAAACCTGAGAATGCTTGAAGGGCTGCATCCGGTCCTCCACCACCCCACTGCCTGCTCCTCAGCCCAGTCGGGGCAAAACGGCGATGCAAAACAAGGACCTCTCTGTCATGTTCTGGGGGCGTTCGCAGCACAAACTTGGCTGTCCCTGGCCCTGCATAGTTTGAGACTTGGTGCAGCGTGTGCTTTTCAATCAGCAATGGCCACACAAGAAGTGCGAGGAGTGCCTTCTCGTCCAGGGGTTAGAACAACCTTTTTTCTTTTTACTGTGGCACCACAGACCTTGAAAAAAGAGAGCAAGCGAGAGAGAGAAATGATGAACAGCAAGCCCAGGTAGCCTTTCTCCAGCCTTCAGCCAAGAAACATTTCAGGGGAAGCACACTCAGCCCAGCCTAAGCAGGAGTGGTTGCTCTAAATTTCTGTAGTGAGACTGGCGAGAGGAGAGCGCCTGGTTGGGGTTGGTGTAGGTAGGAAAAGCCGTGAGGAGCGAGTGCTTGAGATGTCTGTCGCATTTTGTCATCTTCCTCCTCCATTCCAAAGTCAAGGGGATGTGTTTGAGAGGGAGTCTAATCCAAACCGCAGAGTTGCCGTCGTGACTGCCGATTATTTTCTCATTTCTGTTTCTTCTCCTTTCTCCTTCTTTTTCCCTCCTTCCCCAAACACGTCCTTCATTCCAGCAACATTTCCCCACTAGTTCCAGCCAGATGAGAAATGTGTACAACCCAATGGCTTTTTTCCGTGAGGAATTATTTTTCTCTGTTTCTCTTCCCTCCACCCCTGCAACCACTCCCCCTTAAAGACAAGCCAAACGGCTCTTGGGACAGATCGTGGACCGTTGCCGGAACGGACCCGGCTTCCACAACGACGTGGACGGCAGCAGCACGATCCAGGAGATCCTCATCCCGGCGTCCAAAGTGGGCCTGGTCATTGGCAAAGGCGGAGAAACGATAAAGCAACTCCAGGTGGGCTGGAGGCGCTTTCGCCCTGTGCTGGGAGGGCCTGCCCTGGCCGTCGGGGACCTTGGAACGCTCTGCTAACTTGCAGTCGGGGAGCTCAGCCTCGTCCAACAGAACCACTGTTGGGACCCGTGGAAGTTCCATAAGCCCAGTTGCCTTGCATGGATGGAGGGCTACGGGGTGCTGCCATCCAACCCATCCGGAGGGAGGCCTGCCTGGTCTGGGTCATTCGGCCTCCTCTTTCCCTGGTGCCAAGCTCAGTTTTGGAGACACTTCTAGGGTCCATGTTCCAGCAGTGGCTGCAGCTTGAATGCAGGGCAGAGCCATCGCCTGCAGGGCTGAAATGCTTAAAAAAACCCAACAACAACAGACCATCCTGGGTAAAGCTCTTACTGTAGGTGACTAGGCACTGGGTGAGGCCTTGCAGCCGTCCAGTGGGGGGGGGGGGGCTGCACAAAAGCTGGGAAATGACCAAAAAAGTGGTGGTCAAGGGGAAGGGGGTCTGGCTTTCTGGGGAACCCTGCAGAGCCATATTGAGAGCCCCGGAGGGGCCTGATTTGGCCCTCCAAAGCGGGCAGGACTGCTTCTCGCACCAAGAGAAACCAGGGAGGGAGGGAGGGAGGGAGGCCTTCCTTTGCTAGTCTTTGCAGCTCCGTCTTGCAGTCATTTGCCTGTCTAAGCCAGGCTGAACCCTTTACCTGTTTGAGCAGCCAAAGCTGTAGGGGCTCCTGTTGCATCTTCCTCCCCCACCCCCCTTTCCTATTTTCATAACGGGCTGCCTGTTTTTGGTATTCCATTTACTTTTCTGTGTTTGTCCATTGTCTGCATGATGCACGCGCAGGAACGAACAGGCGTGAAAATGATTATGATCCAAGATGGCCCTTTACCGACTGGAGCGGATAAACCTCTTCGGATTACTGGCGATGCTTTTAAAGTACAGGTGTGTATCAAAGCGGATTTTCAGTCATGCTGATAGAGTTTTAGAAGGATTTGGAGTAATGGCACAGTTGGTGATGCTCTTAGGGACTGTGCTGTTGGGGGTGGAGGGGATAGACAGATATTCCAGGTCTAGGGTCCAAATAATCCTCTCTGTATTTACATTTGCCCCCCTTTTATATCGGCGACCCCTCTGTATTGGATCTGACCAAGTAAAGCTAACTGGGAAGGCATGCAAATCCTTGTATTGTTGTGGAGGCGGGAGCAGAATGAAGCAGGGAAGAGCAGAACCACCATGCTGGACTAGCTAAAGGTGCTGGGCCAGGACTTGGGAGACCCAGCTTCAAATCCCCGTGCAGCCATGTTCCTCCCCAGGTGGTCTTGGGCAAGCCAATATAATCACTCGGCTTGTTTGTTCATTCCGGTATTACTCTGACCAGCTTAAAATTTGGCAGTGCTGCCTCCCAAATGAAAACAGATTTGCCGTCGCAGCATCACATTTGAGCTCCACAAAGTCAGGGTGTCTCATATTTCTGACTTGAAAAAACATGGCATTTTGGTCCAAGTTACAGCTAGTTTGATACTGGAGACCTCTGTGAATCACAAGGTATTCTGCAGATTTGCATACTGTGTGGGTGGGGCTTTACTGTCAGTCCAATTGTGTCCTTGGGTGGAGAGTGCCAACAGGCATGGTGCCCAGAAGGCACCATGGAGAAATAAGGTAGATAGGTAGGTATCCCCACGTTTGGGAAACCTGAGAATTGCAGAGCTGTGAGAATGTCTAAAAACACCCTGAACTCGAAGGGGGCAAAAAGAAAGCCCAGCCCCAAACGGGACTTGATAAGGCTGTTGGAAAAAAGAGGCAGGGAAGGGGCTGGGCTGGAGTGTCCTACCTGACATTACGGACTGGCTCATAGCCTGAGCTGGAGTACCTCTGTCAGAGACAGCGTTGCAACATTTTCTTCACGCCGATCCCCTTTTTATTTTCCTGAATTCTTTAGCAAGCGAGGGAGATGGTACTGGAGATCATCCGAGAGAAAGACCAGGCGGACTTCCGAGGTGTACGCAACGACTTCACTTCCAGAATGGGAGGAGGTAGCATAGAGGTGTGTCTTCCTCTGTTTTTCTTGACTTTCCCGGTGAGAAGGGTAGCGAGGTCTCGGGATAAGGTTCTCGGAGGAGAGAGAGTCGCAGCAGCCTGTCCTCAGGAACCCATTGGTCTAAATGTGGAATGTAGCTGGGGAGAGAGAGATGGGCAGAATGGTGCTAATTTTCTGTCTCCTTTCCCATCACGGGTGCATTTGGCCCTTAGAAGGCCAGAGTTGCGCTGAACTGGAGACGTGCCTTCTCTTTCAGAGCACAGGGAGAATTTGAAGTACGCAGACGTGTCCCTTGGCTTCCTGTCCCTGAGGGATCCGTCTTCCCTGTGATGCTTCTTACCACTGCTTTCTCCTTGCCTGGCAGGTGTCTGTCCCCCGGTTTGCTGTGGGAATTGTAATAGGAAGAAATGGAGAAATGATCAAAAAGATCCAGAATGACGCTGGTGTCAGGATTCAGTTTAAGCCAGGTCGGTTGGTCAGTTTACCATTCGTTTACGGTTAGTTTGAGAGAAAGGCCAATCTGATCACTGGCATCCAGCGGGACGGGGCCAAAGTGTCTGTCTCTCATGGTCCTGTAAAGCCAGAGCATGGCTCAGCCACCGTTCAGCCAGCCTAGTTGGAATCCTGAGCGAACATTGTCAGCACATCACAAAAGGCTGCCGCACAACACGGGCCACAGCTGGTCAAAGAACACTCATAAATCCTGAGGCAAGACGTTTGTAGTTACCAAAACATCTACCTAGTACTTGTTGGAAGCAGCCTCCAGGTGAATTGTTGCCTCCGTGCTTTTCTCCCTGACAAGAAGGAAATGAAGCTGCATGTTCAAGAAATGGGGCTAGCATATTCTGGGGACAGGGAGAAGCAGGCCTCTCCCCTATACTGTCCTTTTCAAAGCCAACTCCTTGAATTCTCTCCTTCCCTGTGTGCCCTCCCACCCCTTGAGATCTGAGGCAGAGGTCCTGCTCCGGGAGCCTTCCTTGAAGAAGATCGGGAGAGACTTCTCTGTGGAATACACTCCCCAGAGATGTTTGCCTGGTGCCGACACTTTATTCTTTTCGGTGTCAGGCGAAAACCTTTTAATTTTCCCACTATTTTAATGTCTACTTGGTTTTCACTGGGGTTTTTATCTTGAATTGCTGGATGCTGTGCTTGGTTTGTTTATCTTATTTGTTCTTTATCGCAAGACGTCCCGAGACGTCAGTGGTGGACAGGGTGGAAAAGTTTTGCATCAATAAATTCCACCTGTGGCTGTCCCGGTACCCTTGGGTGTTCCTGCTCATCGGAAATCGCATCACCGGCGTCTGACGCGCGGCTGGCTGCATGGCTTCCATTCTGGAGCACTTGAACCCTCGTCCCTGCATGCAGGACCTGGCCCTTTCTGCCCTGCCCTCTGTCTGTGTGTAATTTTGGCCCTGTTTCCGCTTTCTCCACAGATGATGGGATTAGTCCCGAAAGAGTGGCGCAAGTCATGGGTCTCCCTGACCGGTGCCAGCATGCAGCTCACATAATGAACGAGCTCATCCTTACTGCACAGGTAGGCCGAGTGAGCTGCCTTGAGATGCCGCAGCAGGAGGCACAGACTGTAGGCCCCTGCAGATATTGACGAGGGGTGGCTACTCCCCCACCCTTCAACCTGGGCCAGGCTGGCTGGGCCGCTGATGAGCGTGGGAGTCCAGTAAAGTCCTGAGAGACACAGGTTCCCCAGCCCTGCTGTGTCAATTTGGGTGCCAGCAAGCTGAAGGGACACAGCAAGGAGTGTCCACATGTTTTAAAACCCACTGGGTTGTTGTGTGCCTTCCGTCCTGGTCACCTGCTCGTGGACAGAATCTGTGTGTGCACACATACATACATGCATGCATGTTTGCACAATTTCACACCCCTGCAGTGGCACAAATTCCCCCCCTCCCCCCAGATAAGCAAATCACAGACTAAGATGTGTATTCCCACTTTTAGCTTGGGACAAAATGCTTGTTTTTGGGGTGGATGTTTTGAGCATCTGCCCCTACGACTAAATCTGCAGGAAATCAAAGGAGAAATCGAACTGTCCGCGTGGCTGAAGGAGCCGTGCCCTCTACAAACACCACGATCACTGTGCTACCCATGCATCAGATTCCTCGGCCCCTCAGTTCATTTTGGAGGGCAGCGTTCCCCATTCGTGGTGCAGGCCATCCAGCCGGCCCGGTCCAAGCTAGGCCTTGTGTGTTGCTCTTGGATAGGCTCAGGGAGAGCGATTGGGGATGCGCCATTTTGACCCTGCTTGGTTCCTGGCCCTCTGGGCCGAAAAAGCACATCTGAGACCGTGGCAGCAATCATGGCCACTGTAGCAGCTGCCTCCTGCTGAGAGAAACCCTTCCCCACTGGGTGTGTGGGGTGACCTTCCTTTCTTGCAGGGTGCACCTCAACACACCTGGAGAGCGCCAGGTTACAAAAGACCATCTTCCTTCATCAGCGTAGGCCAAGCTGAGGAAGGTGCGTTTTGTAGCTTGCCTTCCAGCCCTCCCACTTGAGAAAGTGTGCTCTAGATCAAAGGAATTCTTTGCATGTTCTTACCTGGGCTTAAGTGGCAGTTTAACTCAAGTACAGAAATCTGCAGGCAAATTTAAAGAAAATTGAATGCAAAGCCCAGCTCCAGATGCCTGCCTGCACACTTTCTAGTCCTCATGTTTGAAATTTACAGCAAGGGAAAGAAACTTTAAGAGGTCCAGGGGCCAGTGTCAGCCTTCTGGGGGCTGCATTGCCCCATGTGCTGCTGAATTTCAGCAATGGTGGTAGCAACACCATCAGCAGTTCGCCAGGGAATTTCAACAGCCAACCATGACAAGGGCCCCGAAATGCCAAACTTAGCCCTTTTAAGCCCCTGTTGTGGTTGACGGCTGAAATTCACGGACAAACAGCAGTGCTCTAGTGGCAAACCTGCTGGCTTTCCATGATTTTTTATCGCGAATGCCAAGAAATCCAAAGAAAGACAGAAAACCCCATAAAAACGCCACAAAACCCAGTTGCCACGCATAGGCCAGCAAATACTGCGGCAGGCCAGGGGTACGCTTAAAGCCAGAATTCGGGCCTGGGTTGCTGCCGCCGCCGCCATAAAACTAACACACCTCCTGCAAGAAGCGGCTGCCATAATGCCCAGGTCCACGCCAATCCCCAAGGACCAGCAGGATCTGCACGATGGCCTCGGCAACGCGGATTTCGTGCCACTTCGCGGCTGGGGGCGGGCTCCTTGCTCTCTGAAACACCAGGCACATGCAGGCCTGGCACGTCGCCACAGGGATCGGGTCCCAGCGGTCTGCGTGTGCTGACGGTGGCCGTGTTCTTCCCTCCCAGGAGCGTGACGGTTTTGGAACCCTGGCTGTAACTAGAGGCCGAGGCCGCGGCCGCGGCGACTGGAGCGTTGGCACTCCGGGGGGCATACAGGAAGTCACCTGCACCGTGCCAGCAGACAAGTGTGGCCTGGTCATCGGCAAAGGTGAGGCACTGAGATTCGGGGGCTCTCCCCCACGGAGGGAGGATCCTTGCCGAGCCGCCGCTCTGACGGCTGCCCTTGTGTCCTGGGATCTAGGGAGCCCCGTCCCCCAGGACTGCAGTACCTGACTAGCCAAGGACTGCCTTCTCCTGGGAAAAACCTACCCCAGCGATCAGATCACCTTCCGGGCCAACCTCTGTCTTCATTTCTTAATTTGATTTATATGCAGCTTCATTTCCCATCAGGCCTTCTGGGTGGCTTGCAACTTCGTACAACAACACAGTAAAAGCTGCAAGTACAGGGAAACCACTAGCAGCAATAAAATTGAGAAAGATAATACTCAGTAAAAATGAAACATTTATTTGGCAATAGCCATGTGCCTTCAGGCTGTCTGAGGCATAGCGCAGGTGTGCACAAAGCCTTCCCCAAGCAGGGGCTTTTTGGTGTGGTACTCAAACAGGTGCTTGCATCCTTGGGCAGTGCATCTGCCGGCTCCCATGTTAACGAGGTTCAGCCTTCGCTATTTTAGTGGGGATTTGGGGAAAGCTGTTTCTTCCGTGTCCATCTCGCCCTTCCACCAAAGACGCTTAGGTGGACTGTGAGCCTCATGGCCGAAGACGGGGTAGAAGGGGGAAGCCAGCCCTCCTGTTTGCACCCAGCACTGTGGAGGCTGCACCGCACGGGAGACAGCCAGCTGTGTCCACCCGTGTTATCTTTCTCCCGCTGCTGTTTCCTGACCCAAGTGTGATTATTTTAAACTAGCCAGCGGGCTGGGCTGCGCACAGCATGGAATGCCCCCTTAGTTGATGTTTAATCCTTCAAGCTTCCTGACTGGCACTCAGAACTGGATACAGGATGACCGCCCTGATCAAGCCCGTGATGACCGACCCCCCTGTGCAAGGGTTCCGCCATGGTGCACCCTTCTCAGACCCCGAGGGAGAGGTCTGCCCACTCCATTCCCCTATGGGAAAACAGTTGGCACTCAGATGGATCCTGGCAACTCATGGAATGTGTATGATGTGTGCGGTCGATTCCTTCAGTCCACTTCTGCTGTTGGAGCACCCACGGGTTCAGTGTCACTATTTATTCCATGCTGTTCGAAGACAGGCCTGTGTTTTTCAGCAACATAGCTGTTCTTCCCATTTGCCAGGACTAATCTCCCGAAGGAACGGGACAGTTTCAGCTTGCCTAACATGGTATTGACAGATAGCCCCTGTGTGTGGTGATCAATAAACTTAAGAAATGGAAAATTTTCGGCAGAAAATGAATCCTTGGGAAATGAAGCACCCATGTTACGAAGCCCAACAGATCTGAAGTGCACCTAGTTGGCACAGGTGTGTTAGATAATCCAGCTGAGAGCTGTGCAGGTGCTTCATGGGTCCTCTGTAAGTAGCACTTTCATATGTAATGACTGGAGAAGCTTCAGGCCTTTGAAGGAAGCTGAGATGGTTCTTTTTCGAACACTCTCAGGCATTGCCCACAATACGCAAATTCTACTTTCCCTGTCTTTCCACCATCTCTTCTCTTAAGGAGGGATCAAACAAGTTGCCCACATTGGCTTCCTTTCCACCAAATCAGGTTTCCTCACCCCCATGATGCTTTTCCTAAATCCAAAATCAAGAAAAGTTGCCATTCATTAATAGACATCGATTCGCAGTGGCAATCTTGTATTCCGTTTCCTTAAGGGAATTCTGAAATGTGGCATTTTTGGCTATTAGAAGTTTATGGCATTTCGGCACAAAGAGGTAACACTCCAGAAAGGCTCGCTTGGCGTACGCCTGAACGGCAGCGCTGAGCTTTCCTCGTTTACAGGTCTGTTGAACAGCTGGTCCGGGGCCTTCTGATTTGCATAAGACAGGAATGTCTGCATGCAGCCATCTTCAGCCAGTGTCCCCCCAAAGATGAAAGCCTGTGTGTGAGCCTACCATGTCCCCCTTCTCACGTCCTTCAGTGTGAGCCTCGATATTTGTCCGGCTGATGGAACACCGTCTCTTCCCCACCCACTGGCTCTACCTCATCCAAGAGTTGGGTGGTGATGATGCTGTTAGTGGAGTGCTTCTTGTGCAAAAGTTACTGAGACTATGAGCTTTGGGGGCGTCCATACAATGGCCAAGGGCTCCCCTCTGCGTGCTGGCACTCAGAGACAGACGGCCGCCTCCCTGGGCCCCTGCTGGATTTCCATGATAAATGCAACAATCTTGACAGATACCGTGGCCAGCCCGGCTCTTGTCACCATGGCCTTTTAGTGCTGTTTGATTAATTGCTTTACAATTTCGCGTCCAGCTGTGGGGGGCCCTGCTCAAGTGATTCTGCCCCCCATCAGGTGGAAGAAAGGAAGGCTCCTGTTGAATGACTCTCTGCAGACAGTGGCCATGTGCTGAGCGGACGGCCCGGCTTGCGAGGGGGGAGCCTCCTGGCATCGGGCAGCGTTGCACTGGCCGCTTCGTATGTGGGTCCTCCTGCAGCCTAAACCAGAGGAGCTCGCTCTCCGGTCGGAAGGGAGCTGGACGTGACCGGTGGCGGGCGCAAGGCTTCCCGGTTGGAGGCGGCACGGTTGAAGCCCTCCCTGGCTGCAGGGCCAGTCTCTGTCCCCCACCGGCCTCCACCTGACGTTTATGGGTTTGTTTGCTGCACAGACCGGCAGAGCTTCTCTTTGGCTGGAAGCCTCGCCCAGCAAACATCCGGCACGTTCGCCCCAGTGGGAAGCCACTCCTCTTGTTCTACCGCATCCCACCTCTGTTGAGCCAACGGCAGCCTGTCCCCAGCTGGGTGTGCAGAATCAAATGTCAGGATTTATTTTTTGTGAAAGTGGCAGGTGCCGAGGGGGGGGGGAACCACGGCGCCCTTTTCTGAGCGAGGCTTTTGTCCAAATTAACGTGGTGTGACGCCGGCAGGAATGATTGGGCAAATAGGTAATTACCTACCCCCCTTTCCTCGTAGAAGAAATGACTTGCATGCCTTTTGAAGGCTGATCAAGGGGGCAAAGGTCCTGCCGCCAAGTTTTCCTCCAAGGCCAGTGCGTGGATGTTTGCAGAGCCACAGGGACAATATCGCAGGGGCTCCTCAGCAAACTCCTGGTCGGAGGTAAAACAGATAATGGTAGGTTTGGCTGCTGCTCCCTCCCTTCTGACATCTTGTCCGGTCAAGTGATATATTTCAGATCCTGACGCATCTGTGACATTGATTATCGGTTTTAACTGATGAAAGGCTTGCTTGTGGCTAAAACAGTCCCTTTCTTAGGCCTCCCAAGTGCCAAATAAACGTGCGTTTCGGGCCATTTTCTCTGGTACAGTGTTGGGTTGAGTCTGGGCTGACGGCGGTGCTTGAACAGAGGTTTGCTGAAGCCTCATGGATTATGGTGTTGTCCAAACCCAGCTCTATTCACAAGGCACAGCTTGTTACCAATGGACAACCATTGTTGGTGGGTTATGAACTGTGGATTGTTGTTCACCCAGTTTGTTATCTCAGTTGCGTTCACACCACAAGTGTTATCTTAACGACTATTAATCTGTCATTCAACAGATCTTTGCTTTCTCTGAGGTGGCATTTAAGGAATGCTGGCAAATCCCATTCACAGCTAAACTTCCCCAGTAGAGCTTGCTCATTATGGGATCAAATGTTACCAGAATTGTACTACTTCAGACTTCTTGGGGGTTAAATTACAATCCTTGCAATGTTTGTCTCCAATATATCCACACCGTGCGCCAGTAGACCCTTCTCCCCGTCACGGTCATTCAGGGTGCAGCATTCCTCAAAATATTTTTGAATCAAGAGAATCCTCCCCCTTGAACCCAGAACTGCGGTGTAACAGTTTCATTCCAAACCGGAAGAGATTGTTGGAGGGATAATCCGCGCAGGATGCAGGTGCCGCAGGGAAGGGGAGACGCCGGTCCGAAGTCGGGTGCGTGGCTCCAACCTGTTGGAAGGTTCAGCCAGGCTGAGCAAGTGGGCACAGAAGCCCCACTAATTGCTTTTGTCCGCTCTGTCACCAGCTTGCTGCCTTCCCTCCTCTTGCCGTGGGGTTTGGCTGGTGGCCTTCTCCAGGACGGGGCCTCGAGCAAACTGTGCCTTCCCACCCCTTTTGTCTCCAGTTGAGCGGGCTAACCTCCACCGTTGTGTGAAATTACAACAGAAGAATCGAGCCATTGTAATTGCAGTGGAAGCCTTTGTTAGGCAAATATCATTAAGAGACTGAGACCCTCCGGGGGTGTGTGTGTGTGTGTCTTTCTCTCCTTTTGGCCGCCCAGTCAGACTAAACTTTCATTAGTCTTGTTCCACCCCTAGTACAAGCCACTCCTGTTCTCGTTCTCTCCCTCTCTCCCTCTCTCCCTCTCTCCCTCTCTCTCTCTCTCTCTCTCTCTCTCTCTCTCTCTCTCTCTCTTTCTCGGAGTTGGCATCACTGGATCTCTCATTCATGGCAAGCGCCCACCAGTTCTCTGAAATAAGCGACTCTTTGGGGAAGGTTTTCAGGCAGAGCCGTGTTCTTGGAGGGCGCACAAGATTTCGGACTAACTGCAGAGCGAGCCGTGTGCCCAGTTACGTTCCCGGGAAGATGCCTGTTGCATCTTGGCATGGCTTTTTGCTCTGGATGTATCCTCTTTTTTTTTAATCCCCTTAGAGGACTGAGTACTTCAGTTCTGTCTACACTGGGAGCAGTTGACCAAGTTTCTCCCAGTGCAGTTCAGTAAACCCCTGCCGAGCAGAGGGCCAAGCAGTGCTTCTTCACGGAGACTCGCAGACCAGGCAACACGTAGCTCATTTTTTAAAGTGACGGAATGGCTTCAGGAATGTTTTGCTGACCCCACACCAAGTTCCGATGCATTGAAAAAGATCCCAGAGCAAAACCAGATGGGTGGTATCGGAAGCAGGCGGCGCAAGAGTCATTTGCATTGGATCCACTTTCGTTTAGGTCTGCCTCCACACTTGTCAACATGGGCCGGGTCGAAGAGGCACCCTGTGGCAAAACTCTCTAGATTTCTTGACTCTGTGCTCTTCCAACATTCAGAAAACCATCCAAGTGCCAGGTTGTCCCTTTTCCCGTGCCTACTGCAGAAACCCCGGAGGTAAACAAGCAGAGGAGGAAAGTGGTTTTCTGGCCCAGTCCAGTCTTCCAAGTGGACCTTAATTCTTTGTTCTCTCTCTTAGCCTCTAGCCTTGCTGTTTCCCTCCCCACCTCCTTCCCCCACTGTTTCTCCTTAGCCCATCCTCTTGCTCTTCCTTGCCCACTATTCCCTTGCCCTCCTAACACTTTTTTAACCATGTTTCTATTTTATATTTTAGTTCTTACTGCTAACAACCTCAAAGTCTGATTTGTGATACAGTGGTGGAGTTGAAATACAAAATAATAAGAGAAATCCAATCTGTAAATAGTATTAAATAAGACTCAGAATGTCCCAGCATGAACAGTGCGCAGAGTTGTGCGGAGTTTGCACCTTCATGTGACCAACTAGCTCTGCAGACCAACTGCCTTTGGGGAAGGGATTTCCTGGTCAGAGGAATCCTTCTAAAAATAGCTTTCTGTCGCCACCTGCCCAAAGGGGCAATGGGGAGGTCTGACACCAAGAAGCTCGGCCCCCTGCTCTCAGCCAACTACTGACCCCTTGGCCACTTCAGCGTCAAATGCAGGTTGCATCAGATTTTTTTGTATAGCTTCCACATTTGAATCACGCTGTGATATGCCTGTTTGTTTGCTTTTTTGGATGTCAAGGAAAGGTGCGTAAATTCCACCTACAGTTTGTGCACATTTCCCCGCTTAAAAAACAAAAAAAGCATACCAAATCATGACCCACTTTAAATGTTGGAAGCTCACCTGCTGCACTGGTCAGAGCAAGCTGTAGGCAGATAGGCTGGAACCCGGAGGGGGGAAGCGCAGAACCAGAATTTGGGCCCCACAACTGGAGTCCATGCAGCTCTCTGACCTGGAGGAAAGGCCCTCAAGGCGCAAGCAGGCGCTTCTGTCATCGCCACTCTGCCGTCTGGTGGGGGTGCTGACGGTTTTACCTCAGACCTTTGCCATCTGTGCAACTGTGTTGGAGAGCAGCTCCCGTAAGTCCCCATAAGCCGTCTGGGGATAATGGTGTGGCAGGACGCATGGACCCAACCACCGCTGGGTCTCTTCCTTCCCCCCACTTAAGAAGCCGGAAGCTTGAACAAGCTGTGTCCTTCTCCTTCTCCTCCCCTTTGCTCTCCCGCAGGTGGAGAAAATATCAAGAGCATAAACCAGCAGTCGGGGGCCCACGTGGAGCTGCAGAGAAATCCGCCTCCTAACACAGACCCCAATGTTCGGATATTCACCATCCGGGGTGTCCCCCAACAGATCGAGCTTGCAAGACATCTCATAGACGAGAAAGTTGGTGTGAGTACAGCCCTCTTGTTTCTAGCCCTGCCCACCGTGATGGCCACGAAACAGGCCCCGCCGTCAGCCATGAAACAGGCCCACCGGGGTCGAGGCAGCCCGCCATGATGCTCTGTCGGCCTTCCGAAGTGGAAGCATTTTGTCAGGAAGGGTGGTGGGAGTGCAGCCAAAAGACGGGAGTTGCAGAGTCTTTTGGACACAGGACGTTTCACTCACTTGACAAGCGAGACACCGTTTGGGGGTGGTGAATTCGGCAAAAGCAAACGTGGAGAAGCCCCGAACGTTCCGCCGAACCCTTGCCGTGCACCCTCCCTGTTATGTGGGCTTCCCTGGATGGCGGCCCAGGGAACAACAGGGGCGAACGGTATCGGGTGTTTCTCTTCCAGGGTACCAGCCTGGGAGGACCTGGAGGATTTCCGCAGAGTCCCTTCAGCCAGCCACCAGCTACGCCCCATCAAAAGTACGTTTGATGCCTCGCCCTTCCCGCAGCTGTCGGATGCTGCGTGTGGCTTGTAGCAACAGCAGCAGCACGCAGGACGCTTTCAAGATGAAAGAGGAAGGTCCATGAGCTTGAGAATGTGGGTCAGGGACCCTCGTTCTGCCAAGGTCTTTATTAGCTCATTCGTAACCTGCACTGCCAGGATCTGTATCCGAGCACTGGGCAGAATTGCAGGTGTGATGTGTGCTTGGTTTCAGTAGGCAGTCGTTTTGCATTCAGACATTCTCCTTTCCCAACTTCTGTTGGGCCCCCATAGTTGGGACGCAGGCGAACTGCAGTGAATAATGTTTCCTTCTTTATTTAACACATTCCTAGGCTGCCTTTCAGGGCAGGCGGCCTCCCAGATGGCTCACAAGCCTAACATAGGCAGCTACAGTGTCGTCTAAAGAGTGGAAGTGCACGCACACCATCCGGGGAAGGCCGACGGAAGCAAGCCCGTTTCCAGAGCCTTCCTGAAAGCCCCTTTCCACAGGGATAGGCCCACTGCAGAAGAAAACGGGAAGGCAGATCGGTCCTGATGAGTTGGGAGGCCTGGAGTCCACCTCTGGTCTCTGGGCTGAAGTTTCCAACCCCTGTCTAAGAAGCATAAATTTGGAGTATGATCCAGCGGGAGGCGGACAAGAGGGCACACTGGCAAAATGCAGATTACAAATACAGCAGAAGCGCTCAACTTGGGCTTAGTGGTGGTGGGCTGGTCATCTCTTCAAGAGGGGATGAAATACCACAGCGCAGCAGCTTCATATGCCCACTGTCAGATGCAGGCTGCTGGGACCGTGGGGGAATCGGGATGCCAGGTCCCGATAGGAGTTGCCCAGTATTTGCGCACCCAGGTAACGTCCTCACCTTTCCTAAGGAAACGTTTCTGCGGGTGACTTCACTCTAGCCCTGCTCCTGGCAATATCTGGGGAGCTTGCTCCTGCTGGCGATCGGCCCAGCCCCACTGGAGCCAGGATCCTTTCCCAGTGCCTGGGGCGGTTTCAGAGCCAGTCTGCCGCACGATTGACCGCAGCAAGGGGGACTCGTGGGCATCGCTAACGGCCTTGTTCTCCACAGCGGCCCACAGGCCTTCATGACGCAGGGCTGGGGTGGCACTTACCAGACGTGGCAGCAACCCGGACAGCAGGTTCCGAGTAAGTCTCTCGTCGTCCTCGCACGGGAGGGGGCGGGGCAGGGTCACGCAGGGCTCCCAGAGACTTGCCCAAGCTGCCCCAGCCAATTCGGGGCCCCGTTGAGGCTGGGACAGGCAGCTCCTTGACTCGCAGCTCATTCTCTCCCCCGCTGGGCCAGCTCTTGAGGCTGAGAAAGGCGCGTGGGTAGGGCCAGCGGTGAGCTGCCTCTCTGTTGCCACCACCTGCCTGCCTGCCTGCCGGGCTGAAACCCCTCCGGTTGCCTTCGGCGGAGCCACGCTTCTCCTGCTGGGCGCTTCGCTGCTTCTTTTTGCTTTTAACTCTGCCGCTTTCTTGCCCCGTCCTTTGCAAGGCAGGTTTTCCGGTAGGAAAGCATACTGCCTCTGTGGACGCGGGCCAGGATTGAACGACTGCAACAGAGCAAAGGCAGGCCCCAAAGCTGGGCTGGTCTGGTCTGATAGCCCAGCCGAGAGGGGAGCTGGCCAGGGCCCAGTGCTTCCCACTGCGGCACCAGTCTGTGTTTTCTCCCTGTAAAGTAAGACGCACTCTGTTGGGTGGATCGTGTTCTCGCCAAGCAGGTGGTTGCGGTCCCGCTTGTTTGCTGAGGAGCCCCATCCGGCTGGGCAGGGCTTGCTTCCACACACGCGCGTGGGCTGCTGGCCCCTGGCGTCGCACCGTGCCCTGCAGGATCCGGGAGCCCAGTGCAACAGAGAGCTTTTTCCAAGCTCAGCGGGGGCTTACCTCCTCGTTGGCCTGCGGCCCATTGGCCAGTGGCCAGGCTGGACCTTGTGTGGACCTTGTGGAGGTACACCGAGTACCAAAACAATGAAGCTCAGCCTGAAGATGGAGCGGGGAAGCAGTACTGCCCGTGCTGTAACACAGAGCGCAACTCTCGGTGCTGAGGGCATTGCTCCTTTGGCGTCCGCATCCCCCTGCCCTCCCCGCACACCCCGCCATGTCCCCTAGACTGTAATTATCTCCCCAACTTCAATAACTTAGCAGGCTGGGGTGGAAACACTCTGCCTTGAGACACAAGGTTTTTCAGCCTGTCCTTTCAGCCTCCTGCAGACTTCAATTCTTTTTGGAAGAAAAGTCAATCAAGGGAGCCCTTTGACACGAGTTGAGGAGCCATCGGGCTGGCCCTGACCTTTGCAGGCTCAGTTCCTGACTTCTCACTTCGGTCAAATCCTTTTAAGTGTCCTTCAGAATCTCAAGCTGGGACCTTGCAGATTTCCCTGATCTTTTTCGCCTGCACGCTCTTCGCACTTTCGTGTGTTTCTTGGCCTCCCAACTTTTGAGGGCTGGAAAGGTGCCCTTGCTTGTAATTTTTGCCTCATTTTTGTTGGCAGCTTGTGATTTTCTCCTGTACACTCGCGCACTTTCATTTTCTTGTGTGTGTTTGCCTCCTTGCACATATCCCCTACAGTGTCTTTAAGTGTACATGATAGGAAAGCCATTCTCACACCAGCGTCCAATTTTAAACATCATTAAAATGCCCACTGTCTCCTTTTTCCTTTATTCCTTTCCTCACTCCTTTGCTTTTTACCTTTTAGTCCTCACGAGTCTGCAAGAGATCGTTACTCAAAATTAGCTGGCCAGAGGCATGAAAATACAGACCCTTATGGAGCCTGCAGGCACCCCTGTGCCCCTTGGTACTTTCCCCGGTGCCCGCCAAGCTGCCCACTTTAAAAGAAAAAAGAAAAAGATATTTTTGCTGGGAGTTGGGGCCGTGTGTAGTCATGAAAGCTATGAGAAATCATAGCTGGCACATGCCAACCAGCTGTGAGCCTGTAGAGAAGGGTTCTGGAGGCAGCTTTGGAAGCAGTTCGAGTCGTTAGAATATCAGTAGGTGAAGCAAGGCCTCTTCGGGAGCAGCTTTCCTAGCCCTTGGCCTTTCTGGCAGCCGAAGAGGAAGGTTGTCTTCCCACGCATGTGCAGGACTCCACCTTAGAAGCCGGAGCAGTTCTGAATCCCGGAACTTGTTTGCTAGCCCCATTCCCTTCGCCAGGGTAGCAAGAACTGCTTGGGGAAAGCCCTCACTTCTCCCAGACAAAGGTGTGTGTCTCTTTCTTCCGCCTCCCTTATTCCTGCCGAACCACGAACAGAGCAAAGGGAGCCCTGGGAAACAGCCGCTTCCCCTGGGCCCCTTACCTGAATCGAACTGACTCGCCTGACTGAAGGGTCGTAAGGATGGGCCTCTGGCCTACCCTGCAGGGCTGGCGTGTGTCCAGCAAGAAGCCGCTCCCTGCTCCTCATGCCTCTGCTTGTTTCTTGTGGCACTTCCTTCAGGTCAACAGAACCAGCAGCAGAACAGCCAGCCGGACTATAGCAAAGCCTGGGAAGACTATTACAAGAAACAGAGTGAGTAGACCTGGGGGGGTGGGGGGAGAGCGCGGCGGGACCTCGAGATTGATTTCCCTGGAATGTGGAGTGGCGGCCTTAGCATCTCCACCTCTCCTTGCCCCCACCCCCCTCCAGCAGACGATTTTGCTGTGGAAGACAGGCGGGTTCGTCTTCAGAGGGGTCTGGGGAAGAGAGGTGAGCTAGGGGGCCGCTGCATGCTGAACCCGAGCTCTGTGATTTAGCGCAGCATGAGTCACTTGCTGGCTTATCTTCACGTTTTCTTCTAATTGTTCTCCCCAAGGATTTGAGCCTTTCTGTTCCGAGTTCTCCACACGCTATGGGTGCTGGTGGGGTGGGGGGAGATCATGAGTAAAAATAGGGGATGCGGAAGGGCTAGCCAGCGGAGGAGCACGGCACTGAGCCCGTCAGAAACTCGGTGCTGTGAGATTGTCCGGCTGGTCACTCTCCTCTCCTAGGGGACATGTGCTCCTTTCCTGTGACTTGGTGTTTGTTTTGGCTAAAATAGGGGGGAGACACAGAGCCTGCATTGCCCTGTCGGGGGGGCGCTTTGGTACAGCAACCTGGTTTTGAGAAGGGCTCCACCACAGCCCTGCTGCACGTTCGCCTTTGCTCGCTTGTCCTCGCAAATATCAGTCCAGCCTTTTTTGTGCACTAGAGAGCCAGCACGGGGTCTTCACAGGTGCCCCTCAGATGGTGCAAGCCAGATGGAGTGGGATGGTGTGTGCGTCTCCCACCTTCCGAGTTCTCTGCACATGGAAGCTTCCTGGCACGCCAGTCTCACCCTTTGCGCGCGTGTTAAAGCTCGCTTCTTTCTTCAGCTCCAGGATTTAAAACTTCACTGCTCTTCTTTGTGGGCGGGATGCTTAATCCCAGCCTGTTTCCTCCAAACCACGTTCAAAGCCTCGATCTTGTTAATGCTGAACTAGGCTGAGCCCGCCATGTCCTTTGTAGTCAGAACAACCCCTTCCTCGGTGAAGAGGGAGGCAGCTGTGTACTCTCGGGGAAGTCCGCGGTACACAAAAGGACGAGAATTCGTACAAATGCCCAGTCACACACACACGTCCCTCGTGCATGCATGCGCTGGAGGCCTGGGAAGGGGTGGGTGCGGAAGCTCTTCAGGACTCCAGCAGCATTTTGTGGTGGCTTCTCACAAAACGCCAGTCCAGGGTTGGCCGCCACCCGGAATGGCAACCGTGGTGTTTCAGGTGGGTTTGCAAGCCACGGCCCGTGCGAACCAGGGCAGAGCGTCCCTTGAGCTTCCATGGGCTCTTTTTCCCCCGCCAGGGAAAAGCACCTGCCCACAAGTGCCGCAGTGGATTCAGCCCCCCGGGGAGCCAGGCGTGGTGAAGTGTGGCCTGCGCTGCTGTGGGACCGGGTGGGTGGCCGCCTGCCTGCCCACATGGGCTGCTTCTGATGCTCAGCAGTGTGTGTGTTCTCTCCTCCTCCTCCAGGTCACGCTGCCACTGCTGCTTCCCAAGCAAGCTCCCAGCCAGACTACACGATGGCCTGGGCGGAATATTACAGACAGCAGGCGGCCTATTATGGGCAAACATTAGGGCAAACCCAGGCCCACAACCAGGTGGGTAATTCTCCTCTCCGCATCTTCCCCGCCATGCTCCTCTCCTTGGGTGGCCATCTCTTGTTTAATTCCACTCTCCGTCCCCCAAGTCAGCGGCCTCCGTTGCACCCATGGAGGGCTTCCCGGAGCCTGCAAGATGCCTGCGTGGCCTGGGGCTGTGTGGTACATTTATGTGCCCGTAGTCATCGTGTGGAAACTAATTTCGTTGCTGGACTCTTACCTATCCTGACAAGCGCTTAATTTGGTTCTTCCCCGAAAGGGCATGTGTGGGCCTTTCCCTCCCTCCTCTCCATCCCTTGATCTGAACATGCTTTTTATTATTAAAAAGCAGGTAATTTTGTCAAGAAACAATTCAGCCTGAAACACGACAGACGCTAGTCATTTCTGACATGAAATGGCCTGTTTACAGCAACCTGCGTATTGTAATACGGATGGATAAGACCGTGGGGCTACGCTCCATCACGTGACTCTGCAGTCCTAGATTTATCTACCAAATATTCATCAACCATGCCTGATGGGGCATGTGATTGCAGAAATATCACCCGCACACACCCTGTTCTTCTGCCTGGCCAAAGGGATCCAGTGTTTCCAGTATGCTCAAAAGCCCTTCCCACTTGCATTATTGCTCAAGACGCTGAATTTTGGGGTTAATTTTTTTCTAACGAGGTGCTATCCCGAAGCCTTCGTTCCGTGCTTACAATTTGACCGTCCACTTTCAAATGTCCGAACGGATGCTATTTCCATTTTTGCTGAAGAAGGTTAGCAAACCCATACCCAAGACTCGCTTCCAGAGAAACGGACGGCCATCCACCACCTATTGCTTTACGAAGCAGATCCGTAACTCGCTTTGCCGAGACAAACAGCTCTGCCCCGAATTTCTGTGGGACGCCGCAGCCCCGCCACACGTGTTTACAGTTCCTGCTCCGCTTCCGCTGAGTGGCAGCGACTGGACTAAATGCCGCAGGAAGCTGTGTGGCTGAGCTGGGATCGAGAACTGGGCCTTTCTGCCCGCACCGCCACTTGGCCACGGCGTTCCATTTCGTGCCTAGGGCCCATCCGCCGTCCTTCTCTCAGAAGAGCCCCGTGGTGGCTCATGCGACGCCTTGCCTGGATGTCCCTGTGCTCTCTTTGGTAGAGGCGCCCTGTCTTGATTACATTCAATCCGTGCGTTGCCCCAAGTGCTCCCGGCCGGGGGCTGATCCAGAAACGTGGGCTATTGGAGGCCTGCAGGATCAGACCAAAGGCCTTTCTAATCTAGCGTCCCGCATTTCCTGAGTTGGCCAACCAAGCCCCCAGACAGGCCGTGAAGGGGAGCCTTCCCCCTCCTTCGCTCCCTCCAAATGGACGCTCCTGACTCGGACAGCATCCTTCTGTGAATGCCAGTTGCTGGGGAGAACAGCAGGGGCAAGTCACTGGGGAAGCGGGCGCCGCTTTGCTCCTTCGGGTCCAGCTGGACCCCGGTGCGCTCCTGGAACAGCTTCCCCACCATGCGGCCCTCTGGAAGAGTTGGGGGCTGTTCCGGCTGGGGATGGTGGGACGCGTGCCTTCTAAACATGGACGGAGGTGCTTCCGAAAAGTCGCCGAAGGTTTTTAACTCATTGTTTTCTCTCTCTTTCTCTTTGTAGGAGCAGTAGAACAAGACCCCTGACTCTTTATTTCGTTTCCTCCCCTCTTTCTCCCTCACTCTCTCTTCTTTCTCTCTCGGAATCATTGTGGAAGCAAACCTTTTTTGTAACAGAGGTTTCTAGATTTGCAACATTTTGATGAAGACTTTGTTTTTTGTGAAACACCTAGTTAGGATAATCTGTACTGAACTTTTTCTAAGAATCAGGAACAATTTGCTATGTGTACTAAACTTTATGGACATGCTGGGTAATTTTTCTTTGGTTTAATTATTATTTTTTGGCTTTTTCTTTCCAAATTTATAAGAAAAAAAAGAGGAAAAAATAAACGAAACTCCGGGATACTTTTTTTTTTTTGGAGAGAAGCTGGTCTAAGCTGCAACCGGCATTGAAACCTACCCCAGAGCTACTATGACATTTCAACAAGTGTTCTTTTTGTGTGTTTTTCCCCCTCCTTTCCTCCTTTGTGTTTTAATTTTAAATTTTTTCTGTTGTAACAGAAAAAGGCTTGGAAGTCTTAGGTGGTATGTAACAAATTCTAAAAAATATGAAATTTTTAAAAAACAGTATTTAAATATTCTTAAATATGTAAATTCATTAAATATTTTACTTCTGAATTACCTTGTACCTTGGGCTGTCTTTTTTTGATTTTATTGCATTTTTTAAAAGAAACTGAACTATGGTATGTATTGTAATTAATTATGTGAATTCTTTATCAAGACAGTTACTGTTTGCTGTCAGGCTGGTTATTGTGGGGGGGAATTTTGTAGGGGCTGTATAATTTCTAGAGATCTAAAGGGGTAATATAAAAATGTGTTAATTTTTTAGCAATGCTATTTTTCTTTCCATGTCTCCACTGTTGGTTGCATTTGTGTATCTAAGACCTCCAAGCTTGTCTAAAAAAACAAACAAATACCTTTTGTCTATTTCAGAAATAAATACTGTTATTTTTAATATTAAGATGAAACTGCTATTAGTACCTTTAACAAACACTGTGGAACATTAAATCATATAAAATAGTAGTAACTATTTTTTAATTCCAGGGTGTGTGTTGCTTTTTTTTCCATTTTTGTTTTTTGTTTTTAAGTATTTTCTTATCTTAATATTTGTCAAAATTTACTTAGAGAAATAAAATTAAATCTAGTATTAACCACAGGTATGCGCTAAATAATTTTTTGATTTAATAAAAGGGATAATATGGTTTCCAATGTTTACTGTAGTGTTTTCTTGTACAGATAACAGTGTATTTTTAAAGGAGAAAAAAAAACGGAAGTAAAGCTATTTTTTCTTGACATTTTTAATTGACCTGCGGGACATTCCGTTTTGACTTGTAATGAAGTTACTGTTCTAGGGTCCCTTTCCCCCCTTATTTCTTTATAATGCTTGAAATGTCTAACTATACCGAAACACAATTGGATAATGTTGCGCATGATGGTCTTTTAAACAAAAATGTTCTTTTTATTTGACTGACAGTTGGATTTTACACTCTCTCTATAATAAAAAAAAAATTCCACAAGGTAACTTGTGGGTTAAGTATTAAAGTTTCTGTGGTCACGGTTCCTCTTCCTTGACGTTAGTCCGACAGAAGCAACATTTCAAACTTTCCCTGTCTCTTCTTTTAGCTTTCGGGGTGCCCTCGCATGGGAGCAGTTTTTAAGCTAGAGAGTAGTGACGGCTAGCTTCATTGTTCCCCAAACCAAGGGCCCTTTTTCCCCAGCGAACTCCATGAAACGTTCAATCACAACCTTTCTTTGAAGGGTTTTCACCCTCGCCTCCCTCCCCGCCCCCTCCAAAAATAAAGGTGTGGCCCTAAGGCAAAGGAACATCTTTGGGGAAAAACGTGTTTCCTGAGCGGGGCTGCGACAGACCCTTCGCTGCAGCTGTGTGTGTCTGAGAGCACGAGCTGGTGACCAGGCGGCTGCACAAGCTGGCCTCTTCCGTCCAGCATTCTGTGTCCACAGCAGCCAGCCAGTGTTCAAGCAAAACCCACATGAGCCCGGCAGCACCATCCTGCCGGCGGAGCACAGGGACTGGTCTTCCGAGGCACCCCCCCCCCCGGGTCAGGGAAGGTGCGCCCTGCCTGCCACAACTGGGGATCAGGCCCCCTAACTTTTGCCAACCACCCAGAGAGAGCACCTCGCCTGTTGGGTGGTATAAAAATGAAATCAGCGAAGATGGCACGCGTCCCTTTCCAACCACCTTGTGGGCCGCGTCTCCCTGACTTCCGCACCTTTGCATAGAGAAGCTTCCCAGCCCCGCAAATCCCCCCCCCCCATCCTGTGACTTTCACTGCAGGATCCACTGTCGTGTCCACCTCTTCTGCACAGCCCTAACCATTTAACTACCCTGGCATCTGTTGTTTTTATTTATTTTTTTAAAGACGACCCCATCTGCAAAAGTGGCAACTCGGGGGCTTATTGAAAGCCGGAAGAAAAGGGGGGTGCAGCATCGCTTAAATCCACCTCCAGAGAATCGAGACAAGCGCGCATGGAAGATGGAATGGTAAAAGCCACTTGAACAGAGATGGGGAGGGGGCTTGTGAGCAGGAGGAGGTATAAATGCGGATGAATTGGGGAGGGGGAACATGACTGGGAAGACTTCCTTCTAATTCATCTCCCAAGCTCTGTGCCAGAAGAGCATTTGGCATGTTTCTCAGGGAGCAATTGTGTGATAATGAACCCAAAGGTGTCCCTTAATTGAAAAAGGAGCAGAGCGGCTCCTCCGCCCACGAGCAGTAAATGGTGCAAGGGAAAAACTGAGAGGATGCATTTTCTTAAATGTATCTGTAAGTACAGATGAGAGTCGTTCCCTGGTGGAATCGCCTGAATATGAATTATGGAACTTGGCTTGTACGAGCTCTTCCCCTGCTCCCACCCCTGTCCTTTTTAATATGTGGGTGGGGCAACCGCCGACTTCGCTGGGCCCTCGAAACGGAGCCAGCCATTAAGAATGGCGCCTTGCAAAGCTGGGTTTTTCATCAGCGGTCTGGTGTCAAGGAAGAATTCTTAAGTGCTTGAAATGATACCAAATCTAGCAATCGATTTTCGTCTTTCCCCCACCCTGCCCGCATTAGAGCTGCAGGACCGTCGGTGTGGAGAACTTGGCATACAGACGCAACCTCATTTTTCCCTTCTGCAGATTTGTGTCTTTCCATTAGCATTGGCTTTCACAAGCAGCTGCCAGACGCAGCCCTTACCAGAATCATTCCGGACTCCCACTACAGACCCTTTATGACCGTGTGTAAGCCATTCTGCCTGCTGCAAATTAAGCCATATTTATCCCTATATTGAAACGCCTTTGAAATCCTTCCACACTCCCATGTTCTTCCAATGCGGAGTTCACAGCACTGTTCCAGCAGTTCATTGGTGTATCTTTTTTAAACTTTAGGCCATCGTTAAGGACAAAAGCCCTCCCTGGGTAGCTTATATAATAGAATCCCATAAAATAGTAAAATCAAACACCACATACAAACGTATATAGCCCAGGCTGTGCAAGCATCTTAAAGGACTGATCTTAGAAGTACAAGCAAGCTAATGTGAGTGAAGCAGTCTTTGCGTAGCCTGGTTGAAACCAACAGTTGAAATTGGACTTGGCAACTTACGGGGATCGGTGCTCTTGGTGTCACAGGGGTTGGCAGTTGGGCTTCCGCCAGCCCCTGCGGAAGTCACGTCCGGCACAGCTTCCGAACTCTTCAAAGGAAGACCAGTGTAAGGTGCAGCACGAGAACCTTGGCCGGACTTCACTAAGGCATGGATAAACATGCAAGGAACCATGCAGGGCACAGAACTCCCAAATGCAAGACCAGTCACCATCTAGAGTAGCTGCCTTCCCTATACACCGTCGCAGCATCTTGTCCGGATGAAAACTCACAAAAGGCCTCCAGTTCAAGAGTTACACTGCCTTGTCTGGACCGGTAGGTGAAAACACCGAGGTGGAGCTGAGCATCGGCAGCATACTGATGACAGCCCAGGTCAGCCAGGCGGTCGCCTTCTCCTGGCAGGTTCCTTTCATGCTCAGCAGCCCCAGGATGATGGTCATAGGATAGAAGGGACCCCATGCCTCTCAGCCCCCGAGAGGGAAGACGATTCTTGGGGTCAGTGCTGATGAAAGGAGATTTGGAAAGCTCGCTGGGGGGCGGGGGCTCTCTCCCCCATACGTATATTGTTGCTAGCACAGGAGTGGAACACCTCTGGCACAGGTCAAACCCAGGTCGGTGGGGTATTCCTGGGGCAGTTCTGCCATAGAATCGTATAGCTGGAAGGAGCCTAGCAGGCCTTCAGGTCCACCTCAAGTCTCCCATCCAGCTCCTAAGCAGGCCGGACCCTGCTCAGCTTCCAAGATCAGCCACTGCGCGAGCCAGTCTGGCGCTTTGCCTCTTACGGCTGGGATGCGGGGTTTAAAGGGATTGGGCCCGACGGCATCCTGTCCTCCGCGGGAACTCCTGGAGCTCAGCACCCGGCTTACACTCTTCCTGCATGGGGGAGAAGAGGCGATTGGCAAAGCTGCCCCAGCTGCGGCTGGGTGGGGGAGCGTCCGGGCGAGGGGCGCTCTTGGGAACAGGGGTGGGGGCAGAAAAAGAGGGGCCCTTTTTACGTCCCCCCCCCCCGCGTGACAGAACAGCTGCGATGTCATATTCTCACGGACTTGAAAGGGTGCAGTCTGAGGGAAGAGCGTTAACTGAAGCACCATCATCTATTATTATTGGTAATATTTATATACTGCCAAGTATTAAAAAAAACCTTCCTAAGCATTTTATACATAAATATTAAACTCCCATTTTAAATATTAATATTAAAATTACCTTGGAATACATTTTTGAAAACCATTCCAGTTACAATTGCATGGTAGGAATAAAAGCGAGCCGCATGTCAATTTAATTACAAGGCAGGAAAAGTCTGCATGGAAAAGTGAATTTTTCAGGAGGCATTTGAGAAATGCTGCATTTTCTGCCTCGTCAAATGACATACGGGGGAATTTTCCATGGAGGCTGAGGGGGGCCATTTCTGAGAAACACCACCACTGTGATATCAAAGGAACACTTCAGGAATTTTGAAAAGATGAGCAAGGCCTCCTCTGATGAGCTTGAGGTCCAGTCAGGTGTATATCAGGAAGGGCAGTCTGCTAGGTAACAAAATCTCAATTTACTTAGGGTTTTGTATATCAGCAAGATAAGCCTGAATATGGCTTTGTAGAGAACAGCCAGTTATCCATGTTTACTGTATCTGAAGTGGGTCTTCCTCAGACCTTTCAGATGCGTTGGACTACAACTCCCAGAATTCCCCAGCTATCTGGCTGGGGAATTCTGGGAGTCATGGTCCAACAAGATTGCTGAACTGCATCCTCTTACTTTAATTCATTAAAATAGCGTGTGCGTCAGCTATTCCAAAGTTGGGGCATGTGTTTTAGATATCCAGTCTAAGGCACACACACATATGGATCCCAGATTAAAAATCAAAGATCTCAGGGTAAAAAAGCAAACCCAAAACAGAATACCCTAAACCAAAGGGTCACTGGAACTTCCACAACTACTGAAAGCCAGCTCTCCACTTGGGTGTCTCTTCTTCTGCCCCATTCCTTGTGCAAGTTTGCATCATGAACATCCCAAAGAGCAGCCTTTCCTTCCATCTCTTTGGTCTCTCCAATTATTCTATATTAATGATGAAAATGGAAGGAACATTCCCTCTAATAGTAAATTCAGATAGTTAAGTATTTAAAGGATCAAAGCCAGAACATGATCCAATGTAGATGCACCAGGTGGACTCATTAATCCATGCAGACATTCCCAACACCTGAGGGAACCTTCTGGGCTTTGCAAAATGGAAGAAGGAAGGGCTTTTATCTCACTGAGCAAGTTATGGCTGACTTCTCCTCAAGGCTGGCGGCCACATTTTGCTGTCCACACCTGCATAGGATTGCAGCTTTAACAAGCATTCAAGGAAGAGCTGGGCCTTGCGGTTGCCCACCAGCAGAACACAGACCTCAGACTGTGGAGGACCTGTCCAGAAAACGGTGAGATGCATTTCTGCTTAATCATCTTCTTTAAATGTGTATCTAAATGCATGCAAATCTTTGAGCGGTTCGGTTCGGTTTGGTTGTGATTCATAAGTAGTCACCCTAGAAATCAATCACAGGGTCTATTACTCACTCTGCAGGTGAATGACCCCTTCTTTTTTGTTCTCCCAGCTGCCCCGAGTCCCCAGAAACTTTGTACCCTTCTCCTTTTTTTAGCCATAAGAACAGGCGTTTTCTTTCCCAAGGCCTTAAGCTATTACAAGTTCAAAAGCAAGCAGGGCTGACAACTTGGCAGGTTCGGGGTATTGTGACATTTCCCCACTGTTCTTTTCCATCACACAAGGGATTCATTTTGCTCTGTTCTCTTTTGTGTGTTTCTTCCTGGCAATTCATTCAGTAAGCAGTCAAAAGTACTTTCAAAAACAGCTTCCATTGTTTTGACGTACATATCCTTTGCATTTTTCCATTGCTCAGTTCAGGTTCTTTGTTGGTTTTTCTCTGAAAGATTTTGTGAAATGCGCATGCACTT